AATGTAGCTGTCATAAAGGTTACGGAAAATTGAACAAAACCTTACCCAACGTATGCAGTCCAATATGCGAACCTTCTTGTTGGTCGCATAGCAGTTGCACTGCTCCAAATAAATGCACTTGCGAGGAAGGTTATATAATAGTTAAAAACAATGAAAATTCATTTAAGTGCGAACCGAATTGCCAACCTGGTTGTCCTCCTAACAGCATTTGTGAAAGCCCAGGACTTTGTCTATGCGAAAAAGGTTATAAGTCGTACAACGACAATGGTTTTATGAATTGTGAACCAATCTGCACATTCGATTGTCAAAATGGTAATTGTTCTGCACCGGATACCTGTAGCTGCGATCCGGGTTACATTAAGAACGAAAACAACACATGTGTTGCTTATTGTTCGGTCAACTGCGGTAATGGAACTTGCACAGATCCGGAAGTTTGCACCTGCGACGAAGGCTACGTATCGACGTACAAAAATCAAACTTGCGAACCATATTGTACAAACGGTTGCAATAATGGCGAGTGCATAGCACCATACGACTGTCAATGTAACGAAGGTTTTATAAAGAACGGCAACGATACCGAATCGATTTGCGTTAACGCTTGCAAGGATGCTTGCAACGACAAAGGTGTTTGTCTTGACGACCAAGGTAATTGCAATTGCTTTTTCGGATGGAACGGAACTGCCTGCGAAAAGGCAACCTTTTGTGTTGTTCTCGTATCAGAGGAATTTCACATATACGAAACGTGAGTACCGTGTTTTTTGTCTTATACTTTTATTTCAAAATAAAGGATTATACATAACTTGAACAAAATAATATGTCTAAGATAATCATCGAACTTTTATCTTCAACCCTTTCATAACGAACGGCTCATATACGAATCGTTCATACATATAGGATCGTATACTATGAAACGATGTGAATGTATAAGAGAATTTATATGAACCGATTTTCTTTGCGTCAAAGCATATCTCAATGAAAGGGTTAAACGTTGTTTCCAATGATAACGACAAGATTTTTTTAAATCATATCGTTTGTTTTTCATTTACAGATTATCAATCATTAAAGAAGAAAATGATTCGATCATATTTGTGAATAAAACTAATCCAACGTGTCAGCAATGTTTGAACGAATTAAATAATGAAACAATTTGTTTCGAATTTCGAAACAATTTCTACGGGGAACAAAATTATTCATCAATATGTCTCGTCGACGCAAGTATATATAATAAAATTAAATTAAATATATATATATATTTAAAGGACTCCCCTCCCCCCACCGAAATGAATCTTTTAATTTCATACATTCATTTTTATTTTTAAGGCTCGATGTGTTACACAAGTTACAGTACCACGAAAGATGTTATAAAAGTTATCACCACCAGCGGAGGAATAATTGTTTTAATTATGATCATTGCTTTCGCCATTGCTTGTTATAAGTTTAAAAAGCAAAATAATAATTCAAAGTATAGTCTTGCACATTCTCAAGAAACATGAGAAATAATTTATGCACAATAATTTGTATAATGTGTACTTACGTTAAATATTACTTATTTGAAATAATTTCTTATCACAATTATTTTAATCGTCCTAGATTAAAAGTATCTTGAAAGAAATTCTAATAAATAAAATAAAGAAAAACAATATAAATTTTTTCTCACGAATCTCAACGATAAATATTATAGATTAAATACACATAATTGTGCCATTTTTGTTAATAAAAATAATGAAATCATTATAATCAATAAATAAACCATATTAAATGATGACAATGAATAATGAAAAAAAAACAAATATTTTGTTTAAATAGATAGAAAGAAAAAAAATGTTGAAAAAAATCCAAAGATAATATGTTTCCGTTGAACTATTTTAAATCATTTCATGTTATATATTCCCCAGTAATGATAATGATTAACATCCCGTCAAAGTCAGATAACACTAAATAACCTTAACATGAAAGGAAGCAAGATTAAACGCGTGATACTCAAATCATGAAAATATAAAATAAAACTTTGTCAGACAAACGTTACTTCCGTAGAGCAAGCATCTCTTTCGTTAAAATAATATTTAAAAAGGTATCATTATATATCGTCGTGTACTTAATCCTCAACTTGCCCAAAATATGAAGCCTCATTCCTTGGAAAAATATGGAATACCAGTCAATTTGCAAAAGGTTTGTACAATAAGTAAAACGTGCGATAGATCTGCTTTTCTTTATCAACATTAAGTAAGTGCACCGACAAATGACCAGTGCCCAATGAGTGTTCGTTTCGAAAAAAAATATAATTCAATGACAGAAAAAATAAAACCAGAAGTATTACGAAACATACTGGCAACCTTTAAAGGGAGTATACAAAATGCAAAGAAATTGCATTAATTACAGAATTAAAGTGAATATCGTTTTGTGTTATTAAAATCCTATAAAATAACACACCGATTAATCAATTAACTTGGTGGTTGGTATACACAAACATATTAAAAACAGTGAGTAGGCAGTATCTATTGAACAAAGAACTTTTTGTTCATAAATATCGTAACTCGTTCAATAGAATTTACATTTCGTATGATCTTATAATAAGTAATAATAGTTGGTAGAAATCTTGACTCATTAAAATCTGCTATCACCTAGTGAAAAATAGAAGGACGTCATTTAGGTTAATGGAGAAAACTTTCAGTTAACGACGTTTTCATCCGATTAGAACTATAAAAAGGCATTCGAATAGCACGCTAAGTGGGTGAAGGTAGAAAAAACGATTCAGTAACATGTCCTACATGAATTTTTATCAGATATTACAACACTACGAATTTAAATATACCCAATGTGTTTAATATTTTCAGATATGATCAAATAATTATCTCCAATAAATTGTTTATAAACAATAGTTCTAATAATTATCGTTACCTTTTGAAAAAAACATATGTAATATTATATTAATTCATACGATTTGAAAATTTAAAAATATTTTTCTATAATATTTTTAGTAATCTCTTATATCAACGACTGTTCGATATTTTAAACGTAGTATCAAAATGTGCATTCACGATAAATATAATACTTTCTAACATTTGTTAAATTAATATTCAATTATACGAGCCACGTATATTATAAAAAAAGAAATGATTACAACACTAGAAATTTATGAAAGAAAAAAAAGTAAATTCATTACAGGAAAATAAATCGAATTATTGCGATATTACATAGTTACATTTAAAAGCATCATAATTCGATAAATACAATATGATAGACTTTCTGTGATATAATATTAGCGTTCTTAACAAATTTTGTTAAGTTTGAAATATCGATTACAATAGAAAAGAAAATATTTTTATAACTTAAATATATTAGTAACAACGTCTCACTTTTACGAAACAATCTGATAAACTTATCAACTGTTTATCAAACAAATAAGATCACCAGTAATATGCAAATTGAAAAGAAAAAAAATGATCGATAGATAATGAATGAGAACAGCAATTATAATTAGTTGTTTCTCTCGTCTCTCCAAAAATAAAATTATTAATAAATATGTATCGTAGGGAATTTAGACATTCAAAAGAATTAGAACTTCGTTTTAATTAATTGAACGTTTCGTCCCTTTATTGGGACTTCTTCAGCAACTTAATCTATAAAGTTCAGCGTATTTTTTTTTTTTATTTAAGCAGACATACATTATTCTAATATTCAATAACACTATACATCTAAACTTCGTTATATTTGAACACTCAACGAAAAAACTCAACACTCAAATTTATTTTAATACAAAATTTATAAAATTAACATATAAAAAATAAAAATTATAATAAAAAATATTATAATAAATAAAGTAAAAATCAACATAGGTATATTTCTTTGACCGTGGGTCTTCTTGATCGATCATTTATCGTCGTCTATCATAGTTTCCACCCTTACGACGAAGAAACGTTTCGTGTAGCAGGAGCAAAGGAACGAATGAACAAGCAAGCATCCCTGATCACGATGCGAAGCAACAGAGAGCATTGAGCAGATCGCGCAGCTGCAGGCAACGGTCGCTCGGTGGACGGGAAAGCGCGTTTAGGTAAGAGAGGTAAGGGCCGTGTCGGTGGGGTTGCGATGTGGGAGGAGACGAGACTACCAGTTTCGAGCAGTTTCTCTTCGGTCAGAGTATACTCGCTGCTCCAGCAGCGTGGTAATGCTTCCTGCGTACATAACCGTGTTTCATTTCAAAATTACATATAAATCTAACGTAAGATAAATATTATTTGAAAACGTAACCGTGAAACGTAACAAAATTTAACGGATAATAGTGAGGACAAAAAACATTTGAAGAAGAAGAAGAAGAAGACGAGGAAGAAAAAGAAGAGGAAAAGGAGGAGGGGGTAGGGGTGGAGGTGGTGGAGGTGGAGGTGGAGGAGGAGGAGGAGGAGGAGGAGGAGGTAGGAAATAAGGATAACAGTGGAAGAATATTGAAGAGTATAGCTCCAGTGTTAATAAAAAAGGAAAAAAGGGAAATAAGGAAGAATAAAGAAAAATTGAGCGTGCGCGGTGGGGGGGGGCGCGTTCCTTTAACCGAGGACATAAGGTGCCGGTCTCGGGTTAGAGGGCGAGGGTGGCTCGTAGCAGAAGCAAGAAGCAGAGGAAGAGGAAGAGGAAGAAGTGGGGGAGGGGAGGGGCGAAGGGAAAGGATGTCGATGCGCCAGCGGTGCTCGGTTTCGGGGGTTGACTCGCGCCGCGGGGGCGATGAGCGCACTTCCCTCCGCCCTGAGACTTCGAATCCGCTTCTCCTGCCGTTCCTGGCTCCTGCTGCTCGGTTGCAGCATCGTCTTCCTGATATCAAACCTGATTACCGTTACCAAAGCCGATCATTTCAAATCTTCGAGGAATTTCTATCCTCGAATTTATCGAAGACAGGTGCAAGGTGATGACGTGCACCGATCATCCGGCTACATCGAAAGGAACGTCGCCGTCTACGAGGACGGCGAAATACTCGACGACCTGGACGACGATTATTTTGAGGCTAATATTACAGCAGGTTAGCATTTATTTCGTTACATTTACTTTGAACCAAACTGAGAGCCATTTTTTCTGTTAGTTCGTTCGTTTCTTTCTTTTTTTTCATTCGTTTATTTTCTACTTTCTCGCCCGAAGCCGGAATCGATTATATGCCAGGTAAGCTCGTCTTATCAGCAAAGGTCATTCCTTTGCTTTACCTTCAATCTTTTTCAGTCTTTTTTTTTTCCTTTCTATCATTACTTTCAATATACGCCCATCAGTAGGTTTAACAAAGTAGCACACTCGACCGCCATCGGCAATGACCTCGACAAGTTTTCGTCTAGAAAAAAAAGAATAACTTTCCGTGGGCGTTTTTTTTTGGAAGGGGGGGGGCGAGGGGCCGGAGGGTACAAGTCTAGAGGAAATTCAACGCAAACAGGAATAGACTGTGATTTTTTTTTTCACTTTGTTGATTCTTTTTCATGTTTAATCATATTCGATAATAATGTTGGAAGATTGAAAAAAATTGTAGAAATGAAAATCCTTTTTCATCCTTCCTCCCCCATCTAAACAATTAACAATTTAGAACTTATAAATGAGATCTTATCATGATTCATTTTCATAATTTAAAAATAAACAAGTAAAACGTATCCGAACGCGCATCGGATAATCGATAAGATCTTTGATATTAGATTTTTGATTTTATTTTACAGACGATTAATTATCAAACAAACGACGAAAGCCACGTTATGTCATAATATTCATCTTCTCCGATGAAACCTAACATCGATCCTTTTTTTACCTTGAAATTTTTAATTAAAAATACGACAGACCGAAACGATGATAGAAGACTATCGGTATATCCTTGCGATCGATAAAAGCCCATCCTATCTCTCGGACTTTATTCTATTTACACGAGTACAAAAAAGATAGAACAAATGGTATGTATGGTATATCTTAAGATTCATCCATACCTCCTTTGCGCCTGCTCTACAAAAAGCGTGCTACTTCTTCGGAATAAAAAAAGTAATCCGTTTGTGTTTTAACCAATTTGCAAGAGGTTTTGCGAAATTCAAATTAATTATATGCTATTTCAAATAATCTTCTCGAGATTTGCGACACACAAAAACTGGCTACCCTCTTGTTCATAAACATTTAATCCATTTTCTTTAGATAAATTTGATCGAATCAATCATGCGATCAAACAACGTTTCATCCTATCACAATAAAAAAAAAAAAAAAAGAACTTAATTTTATTATTTATTTTAGATAAGGCTATAGTAAAATTAGTTTACTAAAAATGTATCGTAAATGTGTCGCAAATTTGCGTTCAATTAATTTTCAACTCGAAATCGTAATAATAACGAAAATGCAATATATTAAATATATTTTTTAATACCTGGTAGAAAAATTGAGAAGTAGTGTCAAAGAAAAAAAAGAAAAAAGAAAAAAAAAAGAAACGACGTTGCAGTGCGCAGTTTGCACGTGTATTTGCGCTTGCGCTAGGTTTCAGCAGCAAGAAAGGAACGCGTCCTTCTTGATTTTCGCGCCAACCACACCACTGGTATTGATTTTAATGGATGCTGCAAGCGCTCGAGTTCCGCGTGTGGAAGCGTGTAGAAGGATAGCAATTGGCTTTTCATTCGACGCGTTCACCCTTCTAGATATTTCCTCCTTTTTTTTTTTTTTTCCTAAACAATAGACTAACAACGATATGAAAATGTAAATTACGTAACGTGCAATATTATTTCGACAGTTCTATTTAAATTGATCACATTGAAAATGAAATACGTCGAGATTGGCAAAAAAAAGGAAGCACCGCAAATCATTAACGTATATATATAAAATGATCTATTTATTAAATAGAGAAAAATATGAATGAACAATTTAGAGATTATCATAATTCTCGTTAATTTACCCGAACGTCCTCGTTAATACACTTACCCCGAATTAGTGACAATAAATTAATTGAAGATAATTCGTGAAATATTAATGATCTACTGGGTCGCGTAAATGCGGGTTTGATCGAGAACCTTTAATTAGAAAGGGGGTGCGTCCTATTAGCATAATATTACTCAATGGAAGCTTGCCAACAGAGTTACCCGTTGTTGCACGAACAACAACGACTAATCTACGTAATAACGACGTATAGTTGTTAGAGATATGGCAAAACGATTGTAAACGAGTTGGCTTGGTGCCCGTTTGAAAATATCCCTGAGAAGATTTTGCGGTCTACCTTAATAACTCTCCGATTTATGTCCAATTACGATCAAGGAAAGTACCACGAAATTCCTCGACAAATTCCTTAGACACTCTCGAATTAGGGTATATTGTTATTGAGAAGCCAGATGAGTCCAAGAACGAAAACTTACTTCTTGCAATGGAAAACTTTGAATAGCCACTGGACAAGTTCCACATTGGTCGGTTTATACACGGACATATTCTACTAGCCGTTTAATCGTTTAGAATGTGTACAGACCAGCTCACGGTCTTTGGCAAATGGCAAAGTTCAGCTAAGGCTCTGCAAGATACACATACATATAGGCATACGTATATAAACGAGTTGACACCAAAACCGAAATGCAGGAATATCTCGGTTCACCACCAAAGGAAATTGTTCTCTGTCGTAGAATTTATTATCAAAAGCTCCAATTGCTGTTCTATTCATTTACAATTTTCAAATAATTCGTTACTTCTTTTTAACGATTATTTTTCCTAATAATTTTCTAATTAAATTTCAAATCGATTAATTCTCCTAGAGTGTTATGATCGATATCTATCATTTTTGTTTCTTTTACAGAGAAAGGTCAGTACCTGGGCTCGCCGTGCGAACTTACGTGCAATCCGGACCTCCAGCATGTGTTCTGCGATTCCATCACTGGCCTGTGCGAGTGTGAAAAATTTTACCCCGTTCGTCTTGGGCCTAGCAAAGGATGTGCCAAACGTGCGTGATTATTTTCGAAATTTTATCTACTCAATACACTTTATTACTTCAAAATGCATAACATTGTAATAATTCAATATAATTTACTCATATAGAAAAAATGTGTTAATAATAAATTAACCATTCTTTAGCGAAAAGAATTGGAGAACAGTGTTTCTACCGTGCGACTTGCACTTTTGCCGATCAACACGCGACTTGCACACAGGTGCAACACAATGCGGTGTGCGACTGTGAAGAAGGCTATCACAGGGTCACCTTGTCCAGACCAACAAAGAAGATCTTCTGCGCCGAAGGTAAGCAGTGCCAGCTTGCTGTCTAATCCTTCAAACGGAAAACGCATAATTTACTCGTATCATTTGGAAAATAATCATGTCTACCATCGAATCTCAAATTTTATTTATTTTCGATAGACACGACGTTTATTATTAAAGAAAAAAAAAATAAGAAACCTCCTATGATTTGTCATAAATATTTATTCATTCGACAGATCTCATGCTGATAACTACAGACATACCGACACTACTCTGCATAGCATCTGGAATAGCTGTATTCACGGGTATGATATGCTTCGTCCTGAAACTGTTCAGCCGTGCAAGATATTCAAGGCCACGACACTACGCTAACGCGAATCATCCACCACCCATGCTATTCTCTAGCGATACAGGTAAGTTAATTCAAATAAATTGCAAATTATAAGATCAATTTGCCATCGCTTGCCTGAAAATAGCATGCCATTTCATATCGCTATATATCGTACATGCATCATTGTCACTATTATCATTATCATCATCGTCATCGTCATCATCGTAATCATCATTGTCGTTGTCATTGTTGTCCAATAAGAAATGTCTTCAAGACCGATCAAAAATTCCGAATAATGAGTTCCATTTCTAATGAATCATTAACCGAACATCATTTACGTATCACAACTAGGTTCTTATGACGAGTATACTTACATATTCCATTAAAGCATCCACCTTAGCGTATAAGAAATCAATAAAAGCAACCTATATCGTATCATAAGCATGTTTATCGTACCGAAGTTCATCTATTCTCGTCTCACCTCATTACCTACATTGGATATCGAGCCAGAACATATGCGTAATAATAAAACACTAAATTAATGACTACAAAATAGAACAAAATGAAAAAAAATCATTTAACGAAATGCAAACTGGAAGGGATCATTTTTCATCGTTCATATTTATTCGAAAAGCCGAATTTAAGAAAAACGAGAAAAAGAGAAAGCAATAAAAAAAAAAAAGGAAGAATAGGAAATATATAAATCCATTGGCCGCGAACAGAGCGCCTTCCAATCATGATCAATGTTTCTCAACGAACAGTAAAACTATCTTCATTTGCTATCATCAATTTCCTAATATATGCTTATCATTCATGATTTATCATTTTTTATCCATATTTAGAAAATTTTTTTGGTTAACAAATAATTAAATCCGACATCGTGCCGTACGTGCAACCAACAATACAATCACGCCATCGTCTAACCCCACAGAGAATACAATTCGTATTTGAACGCTACGTGACAAAATGGTCGAAAAAAAAAAAAAGAAATAAATAAATAAAAACCAAAAGCAAGAAAAAAAAGAAAGAATGGAAGAAAATTATTGCTGGGGGAAACACAAATAAAGAAAAAAGGAAAATCCAATGAGAGTTTCTCTTTCTATTTCTCGACGATCCTCAGGTATACCTCTGACGCTGCACGGTGGCCGGCCATCTTCGCGTTCGAGCCAAAGAAGCGGAGGCGGCGGATCTTTGAGCTGTGCGTTCACCAGGAGGCCTAGCAGCGGTGGTAGCCGCGGTCCTCTGGTACCGGCATCAAGAGCAGGTGCGGCACGAGCCGCCGCCATCTTGCTTATATCGTGTCACCTGCAGGCAACCAAGGGCGGGAACAAGCACCGACGTACCCTTAGTGACGTAGCTGAGGGATCGTCCGACGGCCTCGGTAGACGATCACTCTCTCTCTCTCTCTCTCTCTATCTCTCTATCTCTCTCTTTTTCTCTCTAACTCTATCTCTGTTTCCGAACGTTTCCAATCCGTTCCATCCACTCACGTATTTCAATGAAAATATATTCTGAAACACCTGACGAAACTCGTTCAAAAGCTTTTATAAACTACGATCAATTGATTTGAAATAACATGAAACCCCTTGTTTTTTTGGTTCTTTCTTTTTATTATTAATTTATTAAATTTTATAATTCTGTGAGCCAAAGTTAATTTATAGAAAGAAAAAAGAAAAAATGTATAAGCATACTGTGAATCGTTCATTTCATCAGATGTTTCCATAGGAAAAAATAATATTCTTCCACATTTCTGATTATTTTAATTGCATTTATATTTCTTCAATTGTCTATTCGTGAAATTGACTGTTATCACATTTTATTTTTCTTGCCCCTTTCCCTTATCCTAACGTCTATCTCTATCTATCTATCTCTATCTCTATCTATCTATCTATCTATCTATCTCTATCTCTCTTTCTCTATTTCTCTTTGTCTTTAAACATGACTTGCTTCTCGAAGAATCCGAACGATCGAAGATCCGACGCCGTTTTCGTAATGGCGTTGACAAAAATCTTCGCATCTCAACGAGTTTTTTCGCTCTGTATTGTCTCTTTATGTGTGCGTGTGTGTCGTAGAAAAAAATCGCTGTCGTTTATCTACACCGTTGCATTTCCAACTCTTTCCTCAAGTTCAGGTCAGCCAAAAGTCAATCTCACGATTTGTAGATTTCTCAATTTGTGAATCAACTAGCAGCAATTAATTGTTCACGTATATACGTTTCTTGATTGTTCTTTTATTGTTATCTTATTTATTTATCTTCCAAGTAAACTTTAGGAATATCACGATGGACGAGATACTTATTATTTTTTCAATTCTAAACATAAAACAATTGTTACTCGTTTTATTTTGTTATAAGTCTAAAAAGCGACCGATTCAATGGTGTGTCTGTCTGTAATAATAGCCCGTTAATGAACAAAACAAATTTCCAATTTTTTAATCGTTATTTCCACGATGGACCATCGGTCGCAACGTTCTTCTAACTTTAACAAAAAAAAAACAAAACAAAAATAAGAGCAATAAGAAAAAAAATTACAAGAAAAGAATATATATAAAATAGAAACAGAAATGAACATAACCGATATCTTTTCCACACAAATCACACATAATGATTGTTTATTAGGAAAACTATGATAGGGCTTGAAGTTTAATGGATTATTGTTAAGAGAAGACGAATGGATCACTCTAAACGCGTGTTTTACACGACAGCAAAATACAAACATAAACCCACCAACCACGATAGACAAAAATATAAATAAATATAAATAATAATAATAATAATAATTTTTTAAATTATATATATATATATATAAATATTAACACTTTAAACCTAACTTACACACACGATAAGAAAAGTGTGCGTCACAATGTGTGCTTCGCGAGTGTGTTACGAGATAGCAAGATGGCAGCGGCCGATTTCGTTGCTCGTTAACGAACAAAAGTTTTCTGGTAAGACTTGTAGAAAGACGCGAAATCTTTACGCACTAGCTAGCTCGCTGCACACACAACGCATTTGAATAATATATGTAATTACAAATCGCATGGAAAATCGTTTCGCGGCCGGTTTCTTGGTATGATTTAAAAAAAAAAAAAAAAAATCAAAACTATCTGCCTAACACAAATTCTGCAAACGCATCATAAGCATATCATTTATTGAATTTAAACTTTTCAAAGTTTTTTAAGATGATCATTGTTTGTTTTTACGAGTCAATAAAAATATTCCAAAATATAAACAAATCCAAATAAAAACGATTTAAAATCAAAAGAACAACGATATAACGGTTTGCACTCTGAGAAACCGGTTATCGAAGAAACAGTCGTATGCGACTTTATCTTTTTAGTGTAGTCGGCTTTTACTTAGCTTTTAACGCATCTTTTGCGTCTCGAATTAGCGAGATTATTATACGAATACAAACTCTTCGTAGTCGAAACACTAAATCTCACTAAAATTTGCTTAAAAGTGTACAACATTTTTCTCATGCTTGTATCTCATTTCTTTTACATTGCATCGCGCAATGCAAAAGGTTATACGAATTTTTTCCTTTCTACCTCTTTTATACCTTTTTTTGTTTCCTATCCTTAATCTCTCATTTTTAAACAATCTAACAATAAATATTTAATTTTAACATATTACATCCAAATTATAAATTACAATAGTCAAAATACTTGTCTACACTTTCTCAATTCATATTATAGTTTAACAAATTTACATTATTTTCTTCTTTTTTTTTATGTTACTTAAAAAAAAAATAACAATTAACATCAACGTAGAATTATATTTCAAGGGGAAAAAGAAAGAAGCCTTATTAAATAATATTTCTAATTATCGATTATTATTTATTTAAACACACACACAATTCTCGATGATACCCGTTAGAAATCTGCTTTTCCTATATTTCGATGGACAAAGTTTGACGTTCGAAAATCGGAAACGTCGATGAAACTTTGTCGATCGAACATTGCTACCGCTTCGTTTTCGTTTCCTATACATAATGTGGAACGAAGTGTTTGACTCTAAAGAGCTCTGCTATTTCTCTGTCTACTATTTGTTTTTCTATCTTCCTCTCTCTCTCTCTCTTTCTCTTTTTCTCTCTCCCTCCCATTCTTTCCTTCGCTCTCTCGTTCTTTCTCTTTCTTTTTCTCTCTCTGTCTGTCTGTCTGTCTCTCTTTCTATCTCTTGTATTATTTTCTGCTATGTCTATCAGTTAATAATTTCTATATGCGCTTTACAAGGACAACGATGATCGAACAACGTATGTGCGTTTCCAACTTTCGTTTCTCACAGAGACGTTTGTTGCGTTCTGCTTTTCAAACAAAGTTTCCGGGCGTATTAAACTAAAGATGCTGTCAAGATGTTTTTCTTCATACGCGCGAATGACTGAAGAAAAATATTAGTCTATTTGTTCTCTCGCGCGTCCTTTTATTTTTAACGAGAATGATGATGTGCGTTTTTGTAATGAGAATACTATCGTATCGAATTGAAAACATATATTGGCGAATTAATTAATTACTCTAAAGTATTTTCTTTTTTTTTTTTTTAGGATGATGATTCTCATACATTCTTTTTAATTTAAAATTATTTAATCGAATCATTAATTTAAAAATAAGGTATAATAATAATAATGATAGAAAATGATTGAGATCGTTAAGATTATTTGGTTAAAATTTCGTGAGATTTAAAAAAACTTGAACGTTTAATAATTATATATGAAATCAATATTCTTCGCATAGTACTCGAATATGAAATATAAACGATGTGTGCTTCCGCTTTGGCCTTTTGCCTGTGTTTGCTCGGCAAATGAAAAAAAAAAAAAAAGAAAAAAAAAAGAAACACGTTTCATTTTCCCCCACCACTTGTGTTCAACTTTTCATTTACACGATATCTACACCAACATATTTCTACGAACCTGTTCCGTTTATCCGAGTTACCACGCGAAACGATGGTCCGACGACGGTTCCCATACACACACATACCGAAATAAATATAATATGCAATAATAATTCTCAGCACTCCTCGCAATCGTATAATAAGCTTGACTGTACGACAATGATGGCTTACGGGCGACATTTACTTTCGCTTTATATCTCTTACAGAAATATCTTAGAATCACGCATCATCTATAGAAATATCTATATACAGGATATTCCATAACTAATGATAAAAACGAATAAGGAATGATTTTAAGTGAAAAATTAAAAGTCGAAAACTAAATGGAATATAATTTGTTCGTATAAGACTTTGTCTTGAAGATAAATATATTTGAAAATTTGTCGAGTACGAATACAAACTTGGTTTAATTTCAGTTCGATTCATTTTTTAACCATTTTACTTTCGAATATTTCGGAGAGATCATTTTTGTACTTCCTAATACATTTGCAAACATTGTCAGTATAATTTTATCTCTTATATCAATTCTACTCTTATGCTTATTGAACAAAGCTTTTAGTTTACAGGATTGTTAGTTTCAATCAAGTGCATACGTATTCGATAAATTTTCAAGTATATTTATCAACCCACACCCCTACCCCAAAAACAAAATCTTATATGAACAAATTTGATTCAATATATTTTCGACTTATTGTTCATTTTATTTACTTAGAATTACTTCTTCCTCGTATGTATCACTAATTACGGGATACCATGTATATAAATATATATATCAAACTCTTACCATTAGATAAAAAATCGGATACGCTAGAATCCACATGTTTTTCTTCCTTTTTCGGCTGCTAGGAGTAATAAAAGAAATTTCTTAGATAAAATTCTGACACGGCTTAAATGTTTACGATTAACGAATTGACGTTAGGTCCTCTTTTTGGCAGGTTCTCGTCGACCTAGTTTAGCATCAGTTCACAGTTCAACATCCTCGGCCCGTAGTTACAGCGCACGTAGATTGGAAAAAGAACGTAATGAAAAGGAACAAAGGCAGGCTCTCCAAGAGTTAAGGTTACAAAAACAACGGGAACAGCAGCAACAGCAACAACAGCAACATCAACAACAACATCAACAACAACAACAACAGCAACAAGTAGCCCCAACACCCAGTCCTAGGACTCCGCATTCTACTGACGAACTTTTGCCATCTGTCGAAGAGGGTAAAGAAGTATTTTACAACGAGGTACGTAAATATTTCATTAAATAATTTTCATTAATCTTAACACCACATTTGTATTAACGATTATTATTATCAATGAATGCATAGAATAACTTGAAATATAATACATAATATTTTTAGAATGAAAGAATATTTAATATATACTTAGAATTTAATAATAAAATAATAATAACAATGGGGATAAATAAATATATATTTAACAAACAAATGAACCAATGAAAAATGTAATATTTAGTAACGAAGGACTTCGTTATTATCGTTCTATAAAATGTGTTGATAAAAAAATGAACAAAATTATTAATAAATTAAATCGTAGCAGGTACCGACAACGTCTGAGTCACCGGAAACGATGAACACGGCATTATCGACGACTACTGCAGTGGTCAACAGCAGAAAAATCGACATCCCATCTGCCACAACCCCGACAACATCTATCTTTGACGCGAATGTGGCACCACGCGCCTCCGTAGACATTTTTCAAGTTTAGATCGTGATTAATCGTGAATCCTCGTCATCGTGATTCTCTCTTCGTATGATCAAACGATACCCATTTTTCCGATCTAATTAGAAAATTTCATTATGAAACAAAAATTGCGATTTAATTTCAAAGAAAATGAAACTAAACGAAAAGAAAAGAAAAGAAAAAAAAAAAATGAAATAATAATAATAATAATAATTAATAATTAATAATAATAATTAATAATAATAATAATAAGAACAATGTTCGTCGAGCTTTGTCTACGAGCGCTCGGCTTATTAAAATAATGCTTAAACAATAACGTGAAACGGCCGTCTCCATAAAATGGGATTTTGTGGTAAAAAAAGCATACCGATAAGGCAAGTTCAAGTAGCTAGCGTTCTATTCCGAATTAATAATAAAAAAAAGAAGATGATGATGATGATGATGATGATGATGTTCTTATCAAAAATTAGGGTCTTTTAAAAGGAACGCGATTGATACGATTTGTCGTTTTTGCATCGGTATTAAATCTGTCTTTTATTTCCATATTGTTTTTATTCGATATTAACGATTTATATATATGATAATTATTATTATACAAGGGAAACAGTGTTTCGAAGAAAACAATTAACTGATCAGATTACATATCCATAAAGTCTATGAACGACGTACTACGCTTTCTTTGTGAAAAAGGAAAAAAAATAAGTCATGATTTTGATGGGATCCTTTAATGATTGATTATCGAACGACCTCACGAGTTCTTTGGTAACCTACACGAAACAAGAGATATACATATAGATATACATATATATCTTTTATATGCTACATATACATGTTTCGTATATTACATGTATATGTTGCATATATTACATATATATATATATATATACATTTATTTATATTGTATTGATAACATATTTACAAATATTCGCAAATAGTATATTTATATACGATATATCAAATTGTTCCGTATGGGTAATTCGTGATAACATTTGCCATTTAAAAAACCTTTAAATCGTATCGGTTTAACGCTTCAGCTTCTCGTCGATAATTTAAACGACATATCAAATGAAAAATAACATTTGATGGACGAATGGGGTAACGATGGTGAATATCTACAAATTTAATATCATTTTACGTAATATTATAAAATCTTTCATAGAGATGCGAAAAAAATATTGACAAGGTATTCGTTTATTCTTTTTTTTTTTCAACAAAAAAAAAAAGATCGATACCAAAGTCATCACCAAAAACCCGTACTCCCATAGATATTTCATTATTAATCAGTGCAATACGATTATATTAATGAATATGAAAAATTGTATAATGAAAAAAGGAAAGTTTGATCCATTGGTTTAAATTTTTCGATATTATTATTCACCTTTGCATTGAAACGATTGTAAATAATCGATAAGGAAAATATTTGATAACGTTTATTGATCTCTTTTGTTTCACTCTTTCGTAAATTTATTTTAACATATTTATTATTCGTCGAGAGAGAGAGAGAGAGAGAGAGAGAGAGAAACGTTAATGCGTATCTAAGAAATCGATTGGATAAAAAAAGAAAATTGAAACCAAAGGTCTCCTTATACATTAATTTATATGTCAGCCGATCATACACAAGGAAAATCTTTTAATTATCAAAAGTCACGCAAATTACTCGCAATCGTGTACGATCGTTCTACCAATTTGTCATATTTTTCTATCTATCTATCTATCTATCTATCTATCTATCTATCTCTTCCTTTCTATTCTTTTTTTTCTATCTTCCTTTTCTTATTTTATCGATCCCATTGCTAATTATTTATTTAAACAAAATATATCCTTCCATATACCGCGTCATTTTTCCAATCGTGATGATTGTCCTTTCGTTTCCTCACAACCAACACAACTACTAACGTTGTCGTTTCGAATAAATCAGTTTAAACATCGTCGGCAATGTAAAACGCGATTCTATTCATTATTTGATATAATTTTATTTAAAATAATACAAAAAGAAAAAAAAAGGAAGAGAAGTAATACTAATACTACTATTACTACTATTACTACTACTATTATAATTACTACGCGTAGAACCGAATAAAATGATATTTCGCGAAAAAATCAACCAACTCGGGGTCGTCGCAAAGTGTTAATCGACGCGTTCCGTGTTCGAATAATTTCACGCTGCCTTTTCCCTATAAGAGTAAACAAACTAATTTAAAACAAAATTTACGACAAAATACAAAAAAAAAACTGAGAAGAGCGATATATATTATACATAAAAAACAAACAAAAATATATATATATATATATACAAACACACAATCGGAGAGGAATCCTTCGCGAAAAATTCTTAGATCGCGATTCGAAAATTTCGATCGTTAAGCCAATCGAATCTTCACATCTATAATTCATCTTTAAAAAAAAAAAAAACAGAAAAAGCAGGCAAAAAAGAAAAAAAAAAAATAAGAAAAATAAACAAAGCAAGAAAAAAAGATGCAACAGGTACACAAAAGTTATGCATTATATCTACGCGTGTTTTGGCAACGATCGCACTTATAAAAGCAAAGAATAATTAAAAGGGGGAGAGAAAAAAGGGCCGGGACAGGGGAGGGGAGGGGATTGGGGGGTTAAAGAAAAAAAAAGGGAGAAAAGAAATAATACCAAAATATTATCCGACAGATCTACCGCCGATTTATCGTGAGCGCTATTAATTATTTATTAATGGGAAAAAAAAAAAAAAAACATACTTAAGCGAGAAAAAGAGAAATAAGAATATACTTCAGCCCGCATATCTCCAGAAGTACTTTAACTCGACTTGCCGCATGATTTGTAAAGGTCGATGTACAACAACCAACACGTTATCGTTTTATCTCATTTTAAATGTTTACTATATAATAAAAATTGTAATATAGTCGTTGGGCAAATAAAGCTCGTTTTTTTCAATATACATATACATATACATATACATAAATATATATATATATATATATATATATTATCTAGATGTATATAAAAAATGAATGATGCGTGTCTTCTTTCGTGCGTGAAAACACCACCACGCACATGAATCAGATTTTTAATTTCCTTAAAAGGACACCATGAAATTTTAACTACTAATTATATCGTTGTCTTGTAAATTTGACATGAAATTATTAACGAGTGACTTTTACGTTCTCGATTTTGAGAAAACGTTCGTACAATTTCAGTCTCAAAAGTGTTTCAGTATTATTGAAATAATGAACGTACCATTCGACTGATCTCGTTCTGTCTCGAATATTCAACAGAAAATGGAAGACGAAACGAGCGTTCAAATAGAACAAAGATCAACACTGACGACCGAAAAAACTTTACGCGTTATAACTTACGTCTCTTGGTTTTTGGGAGTTGGCGTAGCCCATCCGAAAAAATTACCAAAGTTCGTAACAATAATCGTTCGGGTTCTCAACTTTGGAGTTTGCACAGTGATCGTCGCTTACGGTGCCATTGACTTTTTTACATTTGGTACTATTTTCAAAAGCGATATATTTAAGATTATGTATTATATGAACAAGGTCGTGTGTTACATTTCATCATATTATTACGTTTTCCACGGTATCAAACATTACGAAAAGTGGCCTCTGCTGATGGACAAGATAGAACAATTAAATAAAAAGATCACACGAGAGGTGTCGATAAATGAACGATCGATTAAGACCGTTCAAATTCTGGCCGTCATGTTGACATTTATTTTAGGACCAGTATCACTATTGATGCATGTTATTTATTATTATTTTACTTCACCAGAAGACATATTCGCCTCGGATCTTCTTTTATATTATACGATAGCTCAATCCGTAATCAACAGTTTCGTTTTCGACACGGTAGTCTACGTGATTTGTAATAGATTCAGAAAGATCAATAAAATGATCGAGCGACTAGACAACAAATTGGTTGCCTCTTTGATCGCGTTCAAGATTCGACGTATAAGGGAATTGCACAGTGGTAAATAAGATTGTAGGAAAATTAGAATCGAATTCTATCGTCAATATTTTAATATTAGAATTTCAATTTCATAGATGTTTGCAAGTTGGTGGTTCTCGTTAATGATACACATGGTATCCAACTTCTTCTTTGTTCAGCCAATTCGTTCATTATGGTCCTTGCTACGCTCTTCCGAATTTACATGGGTGTTGTCGAGCATAATTATGCGTTCATGCTGATCAACAACATCATTTGGATAATTTACGCGGGACAGTTCGGGCTAATGTGCTGGGTCTGCACGCTGACCAATCGAGAATTCAAGAAGACTGGTATATTGATACATTCTATTATTCCTAATCATGAAAAGACGGATCGTGATAAACCGTTGTCCGTTTTGGCTATTTGCAACGAGCACGATTATTCCTTACAATTGCACCAACAACATCAACAACACCACGAAGATCGCCGACGAATTTCCCTCGACATTAGTAGATTCGGTTTGAACTACTTCAGCATGGAAAATCTATTACGGGCAAATATCGAGCGTGATTGTATCAGAAACGAGATTAATGATTTCTCGAATCAACTTCAACAACAACCGATTGCCTTTACCGCCTGTGATTTTTTCGAAATGAACAACGCTCTCTTAACTGGTGTAAGTCAACTAGATTTGATCGTTCTAAATAAATTATTCAAATATTTCATTACTACATTATTCGACCAAAAAGTAAAATTTAATCTACATTTTCAGTTCGTAGGTGTTATTACGACTTACTTGATAATCGTCGTTCAATTCTACCGACCTGAAAACGTCTAAATAAGTTCAAGTGAAACTCAACACGGTAAGAACTAATGCGACGATAAGTAACATTTGAACAATATCGATCCTAATGCATTAGAAATAAGTACACAAGTCATGTAAATCTTAATTATAAGTCTAATTATTCAAAATAAGTATTTATTAAGGATCCAAATATATTCCCAAGCATTATCCGAATAAGAACATATAAAGCGGCGGCCATATTCAACAAATAAGAAGATATATCTATAAGACAAAACAACATATTGTATATTCACACAAATAATGTATGCACGATCTATTATCAAATTTAGTTCATCTCAAAAACAATCAAGGAGAAAAATAAATAAGTTATAAAAGACATAATAAAAAGAATGCTCGATGAAAATGATTTTTAATCAACTTCTTCAATGGTGGGCCCACCAGCACTGCCAGCGCCGGCACCACCACCACCGGCAGGTTTGTTAGGATAACCACCAGCAGCGCCACCACCAGCACCCTGATACAATTTAGTAACTATAGGATTGCAAACGGACTCCAATTCCTTTTGCTTGTCCGAAAATTCCTCCTTCTCTGCTAACTGGTTGCTATCCAACCAAGAAATGACTTCGTTGCATTTATTGAGAACCTTCTGTTTATCTGAATCATCAATCTTATCCTTAATATTCTCATCCTCCATCGTACTCTTCATATTGAAGCAATAAGATTCCAAAGCATTCTTAGCGCTAATTCTATCACGTTGTTGTTCATCTTCGTTTCGATATCTTTCAGCCTCGTTCACCATCCTCTCGATATCTTCCTTTGATAAACGACCCTTATCGTTCGTAATCGTGATCTTATTTTCCTTCCCTGTTGACTTTTCGATCGCAGAGACGTTCAAAATACCTAACAAATTAAATTTAAATCATATAATTAACATACGTAATAGAAAATGTGTAAGATGGATAAAGATTATTATTAACTGTCTACTTGATTTTTATAACCAATTAAGAAAATTTACCATTGGCATCAATGTCGAAGGTAACTTCGATTTGCGGGACACCTCTCGGTGCAGGGGGAATTCCCGTGAGTTCGAACTTTCCTAAAATATTATTGTCTTTCGTCATAGCTCTCTCTCCTTCGTAAACTTGGATAAGTACACCCGGCTGATTGTCCGAATAAGTGGTGAACGTTTGAGTTTGTTTGGTAGGAATCGTAGTGTTTCTCTTAATCAAAGTCGTCATAACACCACCAGCAGTCTCGATACCAAGGGACAACGGTGTAACATCAAGTAGCAACAAATCTTGAACCTCCTCTGATTTATCACCATGCAAAATAGCAGCCTGTACAGCGGCACCATATGCCACAGCCTCGTCAGGATTAATAGACTTGTTCAATTCCTTGCCATTAAAGAAATCTTGCAAAAGTTTTTGAATCTTTGGTATTCTGGTAGATCCGCCAACCAAAACGATGCTATGCACCTGCGACTTATCCATTTTCGCATCCCTTAAAGCCTTTTCCACCGGTTCGAGAGTACTCCTGAAGAGATCGGCGCATAATTCCTCGAACCTAGCTCGAGTAATAGACGTGTAGAAATCAATACCCTCAAACAATGAATCGATTTCAATGCTAGCCTGTGTAGATGAGCTAAGCGTTCTCTTTGCTCTCTCACAAGCCGTTCTCAAACGTCTAACAGCTCTCTTATTGCTACTCAAATCCTTCTTGTATTTTCGTTTAAATTCTTGAACAAAGTGATTGACCATACGATTATCAAAGTCCTCGCCACCGAGGTGAGTATCACCAGCCGTCGATTTCACCTCAAAAATACCGTCCTCGATCGTCAAAATGGAAACATCGAAAGTACCACCGCCAAGATCGAATATCAATACGTTCTTCTCGCCTGATGTCTTCTTGTCAAGACCATAAGCTATTGCTGCAGCAGTTGGCTCATTAATAATACGTAAAACGTTTAAGCCAGCTATTGCACCGGCATCCTTTGTTGCCTGCCGCTGAGAATCGTTGAAATATGCAGGAACTGTGATGACTGCATTAGTAACAGTCTGTCCAAGATAGGCCTCTGCAGTTTCCTTCATCTTCGTCAAAACCATCGAGGACACTTCTTCTGGGAAAAAAGTTTTCACTTCGCCTTTGTATGAAACCTGGATCTTTGGTTTTCCTCCGTCACTCACCACAGTGAATGGCCAATGTTTCATGTCACTCTGTACCGTTGCATCGTCGAAACGGCGACCGATTAACCGTTTCGCATCTTAACAAATAATAATTAAAAATATAATTCAATGTTATTACAAATAAATAATGTTCCGAATAAGGTAAATTCATGGTTTGTGGTTTTCGATGACACATATTTCTCGATCGTGCATGCAAAAAATTTTACTTAAAACTCACGCTGTATATAAATATGTTGATAAATCTACACGTTAATCACCGAGTTGATAATTGCGAGTTTCTCTAGTCATAATACATGTTACTATATTGTGTATCATGAAAAGAATTAATGTCATGTTAACCTTGGGTCAGCACATACGCGTAACAAAAAACATAGTATATTGCATTTACGCTACTGCACGAGGTCATTAATGCAAGTGTAGGATAAATAAAGAAAATCTATACGGTTACGTGATCATCGTAATTAAGTTGATTCAATTTACATTTACATTGTAGTATCTACGCGATGACAACTCTTAATCAATATGTAAAATCACATGGAATTTTCTAAACGTGATAAAAGCAATATTTGTTCGTCGTAGTCGAAAAATTTATAACACACACAAATTCACATGATTATAAAAATACAATTATTAATAATTATAAAAATACGTACCGAAAATGGTGTTACTTGGATTCATGGCAACCTGATTTTTCGCGGCATCTCCAATCAATCGTTCGGTATCGGTGAAGGCCACATAACTTGGTGTTGTTCGATTTCCTTGATCATTGGCAATAATTTCAACTTTTCCATGTTGAAAAACGCCTACGCAGGAATACGTAGTGCCCAAGTCGATTCCAATTGCCGGAACTTTTGTCATGATTCACAGCTCGTCTCTGTTGAAAAACATGAAAATATATTATATCGTATCGTTCTCATATATTACCGCAAACAGTTTAAGAATAACCTACTCTTCCTCAGCTAAACTCTTTTACTGATTTACTTAGGCTATGTTGCAAGCACAACTTGACTCGAAGTTTCTCGAATCTCGTTCCACTTTACGAGAACCGAAAATAACATGCACTTTCGATTTAGATATGATTGTATAATGTTTCATCTTTTTTCTTAGTTGTGTTATCTAGTGTTTTTGCTTTCTTTTTTTTTTTTTTTTTTTTCAATAAGACCAACGATCGAATCAAATTTTATCTTATATCTTGTCTTTTTTTTTCTTTCCAAGATATGTCCTGCGATATCGCATAGAATAAAATTTACAAAGTAATCGACCAAATAGATTTTACCGATCTCCGTAAAGGCTATTTTTCATTATAAGACTCGTATTGAATGTAAGTGGAAGAACATATTAGATTTCATTTTATTTATAACGCGAGGGTTTCTGATAAAAAATCGATCCAATAAAAATGTCAAAACTTTTTTGGAACTTAAAACAATTGAAAAAGAAAAAAACAGGACACAAATAAAATGTAGACTTACATTTCGTACTCCTTATTTTTGGTAACAGAAATAATAATTCACAATCGGTCGCGAATACGCAGAGAACGTTTGTCACTTGTGACTACACAACACTTCTGCAACTTTCCCGTAGGAAGGAGTTTTAATAGACCGAATCGCCCGCTTCGAGAAGTTTCTTCGTCCGACCAATCACAATGCCTATTTCAAACTTCTCAACTCGTCATTGGTAGGCAAGGTTTCTTACAGTCATAGAGGGGATAAGCTAAAGACATTTATATATACAAGTGTGTATAGGTCATAATTGCATTTGCATTTGAAGAGTAGAGAAGAGACGAAAGAATATACTGGAACGTATTAGATCTTAAATCGTTCGTAGCTATAATTAGCACTACGAAAAATGTTTCTCTTTGCTGCGCCAAATATTTCTTCTGATCTAAATATCGACTTTCTTGTAATAATCTGACGTCATTTCTTACTCATTTAATATTAAAATTAACTACGAGAGTGGATTAAAAAGTTTGGAACTTGGACAAAAAATAAATTTTATTTTCTAAAATAAAAATGAATTTTGTAAACAAAAAAAAATAAACTATTTCTATATTAGACTCAAAGCTTTTCAACCTAATTTATAAGTTTTAAATACTATATAATAATAATTTATTTTACGAATAAATTCTTCTTTTATAATTTGTTTATCCCTTTAAATTTATTTTAATTGTTTATATACGTTATAAGGAAACTAGAGATTCTCAAGTAGAAATCAAATACACGTTACAAGGTTGTTGCAGTATATGTTGTTTCTAGTATATACGATACAAAAATAAACTTCCACGTATAGTCTGAGATTATATTAAAAAATTTTAATCTGATAAAATGAATATTTATAATATATATATATATATATATATAT